TGCTCAAAACGGTCCCCAGAACTGTCTTGTGTTTCCGGCGCCTTTGGCCAGGTTCCCACAGAAACATGCACCTCATTCGGGAATCTGGAAACGGTGACAGAATAAGACGGCATAAGAATGACCATTCGTACTAAACATAAGGAACACAACTCATACAAAAGTCAATCTGTGTTGCCTTGCACAGGGATGTGAAAGCAGGAAACATCCTGCTGACGGAGCCCGGTCAAGTCAAACTGGGCGACTTTGGCTCTGCCTCCATTGTGGCCCCGGCAAACTCCTTCGTGGGGACACCCTACTGGTGAGTTCTGGCTTTTTGCCGGCCTCTTTGAGCATTTCAACACTTCTTTTTGTCCTTTTTTTTTCCCCCTTTATAAACACCCAACATGGTGCCACTCTGGTCCAGGATGGCTCCAGAGGTGATCCTGGCCATGGATGAGGGCCAGTACGACGGCAAAGTGGATGTGTGGTCGCTGGGCATCACCTGCATCGAGCTAGGTACGAGATTGCACTTTCAGCTTGGCTGAATTTTCCACAAGCTACTAATCAAAGAACACCCGAGATGTTCGATGGATAAATAGTGTGTGAGCTGTGACTTGCTCATGCATCTGTATGGACATTTTTGTTTGTTTTTGTCTGACTTAATGGAGATATTGTCATACAAGTCATTAGAAATGTGGAAGCAAACGGATGCATTCCTGTTCAACACTTTTTTTGTTTGACACACATGAATTGAGATGCTTTGAGTAGTTGTTCAGTGTGTTTTGTTGTGTTTTTTTTTTTTTTTTTTACCCTTTCAGAGACAGTGGTTACTCCAGTGAACAGCTTACCACGTTATTAGGTTACAGGGGGCAAGAAAGGGTTAATCATTATCAGAAAAGGACATTTTCATACAATCATTTGAAAGCAATAGTTTCCACCGGCGTCCTGTTGTATTTTTTTTATTTCGCGGCTTTTGGGCAAATTGAAATCAGCAAACGGTAGGCCAGCAACTTCTCTGTGGTCATACATATTCACTTGTCATTTTGATCAATCCCTCGATAAACGGATTTGACACATTGATGCACAAAAGTCACTTATTTAATTGAGTTGGATTTTTTTTTTTTTAACTATATTTGAACCGTGTTATTTCCTTCAAGAAGGGAGGAGGTGAGAACACTACAAATTAAGTGGGGTGGGGCGATAAATGTGGTTAAAAAAATAAAATCCTATAATTTGATCAGATTTATCCTTTTTTTTTTTTATTCCTAACAAGTAGTTGTTTTTCCATTTTTAAATGTCTCCAAGATTAGGTGCCGACTCATTGATACATTAAGGCATTTTTGTGGAATGAATGATTGATTGATTGATTGATTGATTGATTGATTGATTGATTGATTTTTAACTTGTGGCTGAGACATGTTCCATTTGATGATGTGGCAGTGTACCATAATGGCAAAAAAAAACCCACACAACTTTGAATCCAGTTTCTATTTTGTTAAGGGTTGAATGTAAGAATTACATAGTTGGGTGGAATTCCTTTATGGAGTGAAAAGATGAATGACCCAGTGGGCCTAAAAATCTGAAATTGTGTTGTCACAGCGGAGAGGAAGCCCCCCCTGTTCAACATGAACGCCATGAGTGCCTTATATCACATCGCTCAGAATGAGAGCCCCGTCCTGCAGTCCAATCACTGGTGAGGCCTTTTGCTTGCGCTCACCACGCTGACACTAATCAACGCATACCTCAACTCTCCCTCTTCTCTTTCTGTCAGGTCCGATTCCTTCCGCAACTTTGTGGACTCGTGTCTGCAGAAGATTCCACAGGACCGGCCCACCTCCAATGTGCTGCTCAATGTGAGAACATTCTTCACACCCGAGTAGAGTTCAAAGCCCCCCAAAGGATCGTTCATCATAATTACAGCTTCAAAAGAAGCAGTGAAATATAATAGGATTGCCGTTTGCAACTCACATTTATATTTTCCACAGCAAGTTCAAAGTACCTGCATGCCACACGTCTACGGGGAGTCCCAACCACTAAATGATACCCTTGTAAAGTAATTCTCTCGTCTTTTGCTGGCTTGATGCTCCAAACTAAACTGAAACGCAGTGAAATAACGGATGCCATCCCTACGCCATTTTCCTTTTCCTAAATTACTCTCCTACACTATCAAAACACATATAAACAGTAAATCACAGTACATAAGTATACAGTATCGCTGTGAGGTGAAACCGATGTTGAAATGCGATCAGTTTCATTGTTTTTTTTTTTCTTCACAAATCCATACTTTTGGTCCACAACACACTCAGGTGATGTATGTGTGTGTGTAATTTTGTTGAAAACGACTTGGTCTCTTTCAGGATGATGCAACTGTTTAGGGTTGACCAAATATTTGTGTTTTTTGGTCTCCGGATAAAAGCGAAAGGTTAACCGGAAAAACCTGCGATAGCGAGGGGTGACTGAACGGTGCACTGCAACGCGTCCCTCCTGGTATCACGTGCAATTGAACTCCTTCCCCGCTGCGTGTCCAGCATCGATTCCTGTGCCGCGAGCGTCCCCTGACGGTGGTCATGGATCTAATCGCCCGCACCAAGGACGCCGTGCGCGAACTGGACAACTTGCAGTATCGCAAGATGAAGAAGATCCTCTTCCAGGAGACGCAGCAGAACGGCCCCGTGTCGGAGGGAGCAGAGGACGAGGAGGTGAGCTGGAAGAGAGCATACAGTGGGGATGGACACAGTCCGCTCCGCGGACCTCTGACATCTAATCCAATATTGAAAATTGCCCGTCAGGAGGTGGAGCAGTACCTGTTGCACACGGGCACGGTCAACAGCATGGAGAGCTCGCAGTCGGTGCCCAGCATGTCCATCTCGGCCAGCTCTCAGAGCAGCTCTGTCAACAGCCTGGCCGACGCCTCGGACGACAGCAGCGGCGAGATGGCCATGATGCAGGAGGGAGAGCACACGGTCACCTCCAACAGCTCCATCATACACCGACCGGCGGTAAGCACGCAACAATCGCCACGTGTGTTCAACTCTCGACGTCTCCTTGTGGGCTCTTGAAATAGATGAAAATCGGTGATAAAACATGTCAAATATGTTTTTTCTTCATCAGTTTACTGCTCCCATGTGTTTTAAACACATCTAAAGTCATATAAGAGTGACACAAACTGCCGTCTTGGCCACCAAAGAATAATCGTAGTTTGTCTGGGTTTGGCGTATTCCATTTTACTTCGTATTTTCAGTGCTGGAGTCATGCCAGTAGTCTGCAATCTCTCCTGTCATTTTGTTCAGGCCCAGGACAACATCTACGATGACCCTTACCAGCCGGAGCTGGAGCAGCCCCAGGCTCCCTCCGCAGGCCGCCGCAGAGTTTACTACCGCAACCGAGACCACTTTGCCACCATCAGAACTGCCTCCTTGGTACGTCCGTTCTCTGTCTTCCTCCTTCCTCTTGGGAGCAAACTGCACAACAGCCAACCTCCATTTATCACATGGGGGTCACATTTCAGATGCCCCTCCAATAAGTGAAACTTGGGAATGTAGAGACTATTTGAAAAAAAATCATCTCTCCAATATGCTTTAAGAACATTTAATCTCATGGAACACACTCATTGAGATATATTGAATTGCACTTTTTAAAGTATTCCTGAGCCCCTGTTTTCTCATTCTCTCCTTCGCAAAGTTCTCCCAAAAAGCTTCCAAGTTTATCACTACCAGTTGGTGTTTACGATAAACCCAACATATAAAACCTATCATTACGCATTGTATTTTTTTTTTTTTTTTTTTTTTTTTTTTACACATTTCGTTATTTTGACTTTAAGATGGCGCCGCGAGAGTGGCTGCCTTTCCAGCAGCTCCTATATTTTTTTCTTCTACTTCTTCCTTTCATAACTTTGCTGCTGTGAATTGGGAATTTCTCCATTGCGAGACTAATAAAGGATTTCTTATCTAATATCCATCCATCAATGTTTATCTGGGTTGGCTCACGGGAGCAGCAGCATAAAAACCTCTTCCTCGGAATCATGCTGCATTTCTTCCTGTCGAGCTTAGTGGTGCCTGCTATGCTGCCCAACCTTAAATTGGGACTTTCCTGTTTTCTGTAAAATGCCGTTAAATCAAAGATCGCTTCAAAATCTACTGGAAAGCAGGAGAAAGAACAGTGTACAAGTAAATGATGGAACGCTGTCCCGCCATACGCTCATGAATGGTATATGGGCTGTCACTTGCATAACGGTTTTCTACCCCGGGTAACCAAAGCGCTTCACACTGTTACCTCATTCACCTACTGGTGACGCAGCACCAGGAGCAACTACGGGTTCAGTATCTTGCTCAAGGACACTTCGACATGCTTCCTTTCATAACTTTGCTGCTGTGAATTGGGAATTTCTCCATTGCGAGACTAATAAAGGATTTCTTATCTAATATCCATCCATCAATGTTTATCTCTTATGGCTCACGGGAGCAGCAGCATAAAAAACTCTTCCTCGGAATCATGCTGCATTTCTTCCTGTCGAGCTTAGTGGTGCCTGCTATGCTGCCCAACCTTAAATTGGGACTTTCCTGTTTTCTGTAAAATGCCGTTAAATCAAAGATCGCTTCAAAATCTACTGGAAAGCAGGAGAAAGAACAGTGTACAAGTAAATGGTGGAACGCTGTCCCGCCATATACGCTCATGAATGGTATATGGGCTGTCACTTGTATAGCGCTTTTCTACCCCGGGTAACCAAAGCGCTTCACACTGTTACCTCATTCACCTACTGGTGACGCAGCACCAGGAGCAACTACGGGTTCAGTATCTTGCTCAAGGACACTTCGACATGGCTGGGAATTGAACCACCAACCTCCGGTGTTGGGGAAACAACCACTCTGCCACTGAGCCATAAGCGTGACATGTCCTGGTCCCGTCCCATCCGCAGGTAACCCGGCAGATACAGGAGCACGAGCAGGGCTCGGCGCTGCGGGAGCAGATGTCGGGATACAAGCGCATGCGGCGGCAGCACCAGAAGCAGTTGATGGGCCTGGAGAACAAGCTGAAGGCCGAGATGGATGAGCATCAGCTCAAGCTGGATAAGGAGCTAGAGAACCAGAGGAACAGCTTCTCCTCGGAGGCCGACAAGCTGGTCAAGAAGCACCAGGCTATCCTGGAGAAGGAGGTGAGCGCCAGAACTTGAAAGGGAATTCCCTCCCACTTGAATCAATTTTCTTCGCCCTATGCACAGACACTTAGCCTGCAAGCCTGACATGATTCACGGTTTTCCCTGCAGACCAAAGCTGCACTGGCGGAGGAAAAGAAGTTCCAACAGCACATTCTGGGCCAGCAGAAGAAAGAACTGACCAGCCTACTGGAGTCGCAGAAGCGTCAGTATCGTCAGCGCAAGGACCAGCTGAAAGAGGCAAGAAACATCAGCCGCGCAGGGGACAAGCACATGGGTTTCACCTCTGACATTGCCCCTTGATACCCCAACAGGAGCTGAACGAGAACCAGTCGACCCCCAAACGGGAAAAGCAGGAGTGGCTGATCCGGCAGAAGGAGTGTCTGCAGCAGATGCAGGCGGAGGAGGAGGCCAGTTTGCTCCGGCGGCAGAGGCAGTACTACGAGTTGCAGTGTCGTCAGTACAAGAGGAAAATGCTGCTCGCTCGACACAACCTGGAGCAGGATCTGCTCAGAGAGGTACCACCCAAAAATATTGATGGTCACATGATCGTGGTGCTATTACGATGTGCACATTAAGTCAGCTCAGAGCCCACTGAAGGCCCGGTTACCAAATGCAGCAAAGGCACGGCCTGCCACCGCCTTCTCCATTTGATTGATGCGCTTGATCCTTGTGCCCCCGCCCCCCCCGTTTCCCACCAGGACTTGAACAAGAAGCAGACCCAGAAGGATCTGGAGTGCGCCATGCTGCTGCGCCACCACGAATCCACTCAGGAGCTGGAATTCCGGCAGCTGGGATCAGTGCAGCGCACCCGCGCCGAGCTGATCCGAACACAGCACCAGACGGAGCTGACCAACCAGATGGAGTACAACAAGCGGCGGGAGCAAGAACTGCGCCAGAAACACACCATGGAGGTGCGGCAGCAGCCCAAAAGCCTTAAGGTGAGACCAACCTAGACTGTTGCAAAAAAAAAAAAAAAGTTGAAAAATGTCGAACTTGCATCAAGTGATGTGACTGGAGTTCCGACGCTGTGTCGTTTTTGCGTTCCAGTCGAAAGAGCTGCAGATCAAGCGTCAGTTCCAGGAAACATGCAAGATCCAGACGCGTCAGTACAAAGCCTTGCGCAACCACCTCCTGGAGAGCACGCCCAAGTCGGACCACAAGGCCGTGCTCAAGCGCGTCAAGGAGGAGCAGACACGCAAGCTGGCCATCCTGGCCGAGCAGTACGACCACTCCATCAACGACATGCTGTCCACGCAGGCTGTGAGTAAGGCAAGGAACCAACCCCCGCGCACCTTCCACACCGCCGAACCTTGACCACTGCCCACCCGCCCGCAACTCTGACGACGAGTTTTTGTCCCGCGTAGCTTCGACTGGACGAGACCCAGGAGGCGGAGTATCAGGTGCTGCGCATGCAACTGCAACAGGAACTGGAGCTGCTCAACGCCTACCAGAGCAAGATCAAGATGCACACGGACACGCAGCACGAGCGAGAGATAAAGGAGCTGGAGCAAAGGGTGTCCATACGCCGCGCGCTGCTCGAGCAACGGGTACTGCCAACACGGCCGTCTTTTGATCCTTTTATGTCAAGGGCGTCAAAATAAAAATGATCAAAGTTGCTATGAAACCTTCAAACAACTGCGACTTTGACATACATGAAACACCAACACATCAAGTAATACTCGTAGCAAGGTACTTTATCTGCTCCATTATGATGATGACTATTACTGGAGCTTCGTAAGGGACTTTCTCTGCCTCTTATTTTTGACCGAGAGATCAAAGAGCTGGAGCAGAGGGTGTCCATACGCCGCGCGCTGCTCGAGCAACGGGTACTGCCAACACGGCCGTCTTTTGATCCTTTTATGTCAAGGGCGTCAAAATAAAAATGATCAAAGTTGCTATGAAACCTTCAAACAACTGCGACTTTGACATACATGAAACACCAACACATCAAGTAATACTCAGCAAGGTACTTTATCTGCTCCATTATAATGATGACTATTACTGGAGCTTAGTAGGGGACTTTCTCTGCCTCTTATTTTTGGTCTTAGTTATGTTGCATATACAGTAGAGCTCAATGCTGCCTGGCATGTTGTGGGTACTGACGCGGAAGTGTTTGCATGTCTGACATATTACAAATGGGCCATCTGGCAGGGCAAGGCTTCAGACTGTAATTTGCCCCGCCCTTCACAATGGCATTTTGTGGCTTTCAGATCGAGGAAGAGATGCTGTCCCTGCAGAACGAGCGCTCCGAGCGTATCCGGACGCTTCTGGAGCGCCAGGCTCACGAGATCGAGGCTTTCGACTCGGAGAGCATGCGGCTGGGCTTCAGCAACATGGCGCTGAGCGGCATCCCGGCCGAGGCCTACAACCAGGGCTACCCTGCCCCCAGCCCCTCTTCGGGCTCAGGGGGCTGGCCCTCGCGCCCCGTCCCCCGCTCGGGCAGCCACTGGAGCCACAGCGTGCAGAACTCTGTGGCTGCGCCATCCTGGCGCGGTCAGAACCACGGCAGCGGAGGCTTTGTCCGGACCGAGTCGACGGTGTCGTCGCACGGCTTCGGCAGGGACAGCGACCCCATGAAGGGCGGCAGGGCGTCGTCCTCGTCCTCTGCGTCATCGTCATCATCCTCCTCGAACCTCCGCCAACACCTTCACCAGCAGTCGCAACAGCAGCCGCCGCAGCCTCACTATCTCCCCCAACACTACCAGCACCACCAGAGCACGCCGCACCTCTACCGTGACGAGAGGGAGCGCGCCAGGGAGTGGGTGGGAGGCAGCGGCCACTATTCCCATCATTCCCAGGGCGGGCACTATCACCACCACCTGTCATCCCACGCCTCCTCGCAGTCCCTGGCCCTGCTGCCGCCCACTCCTGCACCTCCGCCCGTCTCCCTGTCCTCCTCCCCTCCGTCCTCGGCCTCCTCGTCCTCATCGTCTCAGGGGGGCTACGGCGGCGGAGGCCTAGGGGTGCGCGGCCCCGGCCTGATGCCACTCCGGAACAGCCCACAGCCTCTGCGTAGGACGGCCTCGGGTGGGCCAGCCAGCGGCGGAGGCGATGGAGGACTGAGTCGGAGCACATCAGTCACATCGCACATTTCCAACGGCTCACACCTGTCCTACTCGTGAAGATTCTGCCCAGAGACTGTTGACTTTTCCTTTTCAATTCCTTCACGTGTCGTTTGCAGTTTTTGTTGCACAAGATCAAGTTTGAGATTTTGCTCTCGGACGTCGCGTGGCGCTTCCTCTCAGCTAGTGGTGCTTTTCAAAACCAACCCCACTCTGTAACTAGGCTCTTGCGCCTCCTCTTTTGGTGTTAGATGCTGTTGAGCAGAGATTGTGTAGACAGCCACATCAACAAAACCACTCCACGTGCCAGTCTTCCCTTCACCGCCACGTCGGCAAGTTAGCTTAGCACTCGCCCAGTCGCTTCAACTTGCAGTTATCTTAGCCTAGCTGAGCACAACGGCCATATTTTGCTGTGTTTAAAAAAAAAAATGTTCCAGTTGCTCCAAGTTGTAGTTAGCTTAGTTTAGCTTTGTGTCTGCACCGTCCAGCGTAAACTAAGTTGTGATTTGATTTTTTTGTTTTCCTTTTTAAAAGTTATTTTCATAACTGAGACTTTTAACAAGGACGAGAGACAACACGCTTGTTTGCTTCTTAGCAGACTTCCATTACATCCGCCACGTGACACATTACATTAGGACAAGGTTACGTTATGCTGGGATGACATCTTAGGTTTCGGCATGTTATGTTATGACGCATTGCGATATATCATGGCACATGTTACAACAGGCTACAACCAATTACGTCACAACACTTTATACTACCATTTGTTCCGTTTTGACACGTTACATTACGACATCATGGCGTGTCTTGTTACAACACTTTAGGTTTCGGCACGTTACTATGCGATGCCACACGTCACGTGTTATGACATGCTACAGCATGATATGCTATGACCTGTTTGGTTGCAACTTGTTGCATTACAACACATCTAGTTACGGTACTTTTAGACACGTTACGTTGCTGCATGTTCAGTTGCAGCACAATGTGTCAAGTTCTGTAACGGATCGTTACATCACGCCAACACGTTAGAGCAGGGGTGCCCGTTACGGCGATCCTGATCGACCGGTAGATCTAGGACAGGTCCCAAGTGTATCCAAGGGGTGTAGAGGAGAAGAAAAAAAAAACAACCTTTTGTGTGTTTTTGTACATGTTAGTAATATATTTTATTGTGTTAATGTACGCTGCACCCTAATCATCCTATCAGTCTAATTTTCACGAAAAAATATTTTAAAAATAAAATAAAGCAGGTAAATCATTAACCTACGGTGGCACGTGATCTACGTCACCGGAAGTTTTTAGCGCTCAGCAGTCTGCAATTGCAGCTTGTGATCAGAGCTGTTGCGCTACATCTTTTATTGTCATTATTCTCATTCAGAGTTTTGCTTCGTGTACAATTCACCGAGGGCACAGGCAAAGAATAGGAATCTAGAGGGCCCAGGGAAGCACTTTAAAACGGTACGTGTGAGCTATCTAGATAGTTAACAGGCTGCAAAGGTGCATTGCATGCCTCCGTGTCAGGCTGTTTCTCATCATGGCGTGCGCGCGCGCGGTAAGGGGCGATCGCGGGAGGTTGGTTGATCGAAAAGTCGATCTGAGGTCCAAAAAGTTTGGGCACCCCTGCGTTAGAGCATGCCACGTTACAGCCTGTTACCACACCCCAACCCACCGTTGGGTCTTCCAAAAACTTGCGCCATGCTCTTTTCCGATCCAAGTTTCTGTTGAATCTCAATGTGAACGTTGCGGGCGCCCGTTGACCCGCCATGTACATAGTTGTACTAACTCAAAAAGCGTCTTAGTAATCATAAGGATCCTTTTGTCATGTGACCTAGACCAATAGATGCTACTGCTGTCGTATTTATGTTGTATGCCATTTTTTTAATGCTAATTTTTATTTCCCAAATGTGACTGCCAACATTGACCACTCGCTGGAGAAGAATAAGCGCAGTGCAGTGTTACTGTGATACAACAACATATGAAGTACATTTCCCAGCATTCCTTGTTCTCATGTCAGTATTAGCATGTGGAGCGTTCCCACAATCCTTTGGTGCCATGTTCAGCTTTACTTGATTTCGTTTTGTGTACAGTGTGTGTGTGCGCGCGTGTGTGTGCATGTGTGCGTGCGTGGAAGTGAGGGTGTGCGAGCGCGCGCGCATGGGTCGAACTGCGGAAGTATCATCAGGCCGCTTCTTCCCGCCGTGGCGAAGGAGCGCGACGGCCATCTTTGGTTGTCACGTCTACCTCATTTGCACTGATGGTCAACAAAGAATGTTGGGCTCTTCTCAAACGCGCTGGGAAACGGGCGTTGACTTGACGAACGAGCGACATTTAACTTTTTGACTTGTTTTAGAGTGGGGGAGGGTTGTTGTAACGTTTTCCTTTGGTGAGTTGAAACTTGAATCGGCACAAAGAATATAGGAAACAGGAAGCGCATGTTTGTCTTCTTGGGTCCCGTTAAAAGAGACAGTTTGGGGAAACGAGGGGCTTACCATGCGCTCATCTTGTTTCCCTCAGGCGGAAGATGTAAAGATTATTTTTCTAGTTTTGAAGTCAGGAAGTAAGAGTAACATCATTACAAACATGTTTTAGCTCTTTTCTTCACAAATATCAGGCTTTCTTTAAACATAAAAGTGAAAAAAGAAACATTTGACGGGGGGAACAGTTGTACAGAAACGAAACAAAATACTTTTGGACAATAAACAAGCATCAGTACATAACACTTGGCCGTACCTTTTTTTGACTCAGTGTTATATAGAAAAGAAAGCATCGTTATGTAGTTAGTAACATTGATTGATTGATATTTATAGTATAACTGCGACGTTGAACTGAACGGGAACTTTTGCTTTCCTGAACGTACAAGTTAAAATTAATCCTGTTAAAACGTGTGAATTATCGCGTTACAAAATGAAATTTACTACGTAATAACGTGAAAATTATGATTTAACTTGACCCGTATCACGCTGAAGCGTGAATATAACTTTGCTTTGATGTGATAGCAATATGAGTCCGTCAATTTTAAATAATATAACGATGAAATTGTTTATGGATAAGCGGTACGGATAATGGATGAATTGTAGTCAACATCGATGTTTCTTGTCCGGTTCAAACTGGTGACGTCGAAGCTAAATATAGCGCTGGAGTTTAAAGGGGAGTCGATGAGGTGACGTCACAGCAACAATAGTCATGCTCAGAGAAGAGCGATACCGGAAATAGGAGCATCCAAAAATTAAACTATTAATTTCCTCATTGGAATCTATTTGCAAATAAGTCTGCCTTCTTACTAAGCGCGTGTCTGTTAAATCTGTTGACATTATCAGTCCTGGAAAGGAGTAGTTTGTCGAGTGGCTGACTCGTTAGGGTCTAATTATGATTATAGTGAAACACAAACATAGCGGAAATGGTTGACTTGTTTGAAGGGTTGGCGCGAGCTTGACGGCAAGCTTCGACTCGAGGAAGTACTCAGAGAGCTAATTTCTATGATTTTGCCACCAAAAAAAAAACTAAACTTTTACTCGACGACCTAGAAACGGAAAGATGGCACAAGAAAACATTTTCCTCTTCGTCCCTAATTTGATCGGTGAGTTTGTGACCGGGTCATCGGCAGGTACCTGCTTAGCTAACTGCTGCCAATTGCTACTCAGTGTCAAATATTACGAAATTTTACAAATGTCACATTTTTGTCTCGCTCATGAGCGATAGCTTCCCAAGAGGCCTTCACGCTGGATCCAGGCCTCGGCCCCATGTTACGCTCCTACCCCGGTCGGGGCTTTATTATTAAATAAATTAAAAACCAAACGACTACAGTACGTCATTACCAAGGGAGTTTGTGAAAATAATAATACAGTAATATTTTTTTAGATATGTCGAATGACCCCTTTTCGAGGAATTTACGTTAAATGTTCTCTTTCGCATTGAAATGATTTAGATGTCAGCGAAAGATGTCATTTATGAATGTCAAGAACACTTACTAATAGAACGTATATAACGACAACAACAAAAAGTCGCCCTTTTTGTATCTGTCTGCAGACAAAATGGTATTCTGTACCTGTCGTTGGTATTTGTCATTGGAATTAAAAGGTGAATCGATTATCAAGTTGATGAACAACAATTTTTGTAATTGATTGTTTAGAGACCACGTTTAAACAAATCCCCTGATTTCAGCTTCTCAGCTCTGAATCTCCGATTTCTGTTGATGTCCATGAAAGCAGGCGGATTGTGTTTGTGGTGAATCAAAACAAGACGTTTGCAAACATCTGTTTTTACGTTGAAAAATAATTATCAACATTTATTTTCCATTTTCTGACAAATGTTACAGATCAAACCAGGAATGAAAACATAAGAATGTTTATGTTTGAAATAATGTCCGGCATTTGAATGAAAGGATGGAAATGAAGCCATTTTTTTTCACTCTGATTCATCCATTAACTGAAAAAAAAGTCACCCAGTGAATTGATGATTAAAATAATGGTTCATTTCTACTCTAGTTATTACTTTCTGGTGTCATTTGTTGTTGGAGAACGCATTAGGTTGTTGTACAGAGTGAATGAAAAGTACCCCCGACTTAACACTCGGTGTGTCTTGTCCTCACCCACTGAGAGTTCCCACAAACAGGTGAATATGGGTTGTCGTCAATGGTTGTCCATTTTCAACATGTTGACAAATGTGTTGTGTGTGCTTGCGTGTAGGTTACGCCCGCATTGTGCTGGCACTGGTGTCCTTCTTCCTGATGCCGTGTTGCCCATACCCCGCCTGTTTGTGCTACATGCTCAGCAGCCTCCTGGACTCCTTTGACGGCCATGCCGCGCGCGCGCTCAACCAGTGTACGTGTTCCCCACTAGTAATAACAATTAAACCTCAAAATTGAATATGGTAATGGTGAAAATGAATACGATGATGGTGACGATGACACCGATGATGACCTAAGTCATATTGATGACAACGTCAATGATAATACGATGATGGTGATGTGTTTGTGTGTGTGGTTGTCAGGCACGCAGTTCGGCGCCATGCTGGACATGCTGACAGATCGCTGCGCCACGATGTGCCTGCTGGTTAACCTGGCACTGCTCTACCCGTCCTACACCTTCCTCTTCCAGCTCAGCATGTGCTTGGACATCGCCAGCCACTGGCTGCACCTGCACAGGTGGTGCAGTTCCTGTTGAATGGCCTCGCCGCTGCCCACCTGCCGCAATTGCTAACTATATGCGTGCGTGTGTGCAGCTCGACGGTTAAGGGCTCAGCCAGTCACAAGAGCATCGACCTGTCTGGAAACCCGCTCCTGCGTGTCTACTACACGAACAAGGTCACATGTGCAACTTCACATTTGACACACCTTTCGTGTGTCCTCTACCACCACTTATATTTAAAAAAAAAAAATCTATTTTTGAAATGAATACTCTTTCCTCATTCTTTGGCACTGTTTTTCCTTCCCCAAAGAGGTCAAGCGTGCTTGCTTGGAGCGCTGACAGGTGTTGTGTGCCCGTTTGCAGGTGGTTTTGTTCTTGATGTGCATGGGCAACGAGCTCTTTTTCTGCCTGCTCTACATCCTGCATCACCTACAACAACCCCCCGGTAACTTTCACACGCACTCACGCCACACCGTGTATGTTTTTGTGCTTGTAGTTGCCGGTGTGCCTTATGCGTGCCCAGTTTGTCATAGTTAACCAAAATTAAGGATATGACTAAAAGTAAAATTGAAAAATACATTTTTGTTTACAAAGTCAAATAAAAACAAAAGTGCTTGGATATTAAGACAAAAGGGAAGTGAACTCATCATTATTATTATTATTATTATTTTAAGAAACAATAATATGTTCTATATGACTCCACTTGTCTAAACACAGTATTCTGATAAGTATTGCTTTTGTGGAATAGGAATGAAGCAGCAAAATCCACCCATTTTGATCCATGTCAGTGGGAGGCCCATTTTGCCACTTGCTGTCAAATGAAAATGACATAACAGTTGTTGTGGACTCAGGTAGCGACCAATCACGGCTCATCTTGCAAACATCACATGACCAATCCCAGAAAATAGCTGACTTTCAGTCAACAGCAAGTGTAACACAAAATGGCCACCCCCTGAGATTAATCAAAATGGCTGAATTTTGCTTCACTTCTATTCCACAAACGCAATCTTCATCAGGATCCCGTATTGAGATTTGTGGGGCTGTGTATTGATTTTGGTATAGCTGTACAACCATACAGAAGAAACGGCATCAGTCCAGTTGTCAATTTATTTCATTTTCTTTATCTTGCCGTGACCTGAAGAAATTACATTACATTATCTGCTGAAATAATTTTTTTTTTAATTCCTGCGGCAAAATAAGGTGGCTCAATGTATTCTTAGCTTATCGTCACCATTAAAGCCATAAAAAAATTATATATATATATATATA